TGTCTAGTAACGAATTATTACAGGATGTGATACGTCTTAAATTACAGTAGACTATTAGCAAGTATCTCTTTTAACAGTGAAAGTTTTATTAATCTTATATAATAGTTTGGCAATATTACTGGATGTGTTTAAGCTGTCCACTGTAGTTGTAGATTGTTTTAATTTGGTCACCAAAAAATTGTGAAAAACTAATACAAAAAAATATAAAACTATATGATACAATTAATCAATAGACTTAATGTGTTTATTAGCGTAATCTAGTGAAGTGTATTTATAGATTACTTTACGTATTTTTAATGTTTATCATTTCAACATTAAATTTCCACATTCAGGAACAATAAAACCGCCATACATCCAATACTGCTCGCATTACTCGCAAGACAAAATTGCTTTTAAAGCGATACACAATATTCGTTTATATAAAAGTGTCTGTTACATATTTTCAAGAATACCCTAAAGCTTTCAGCAAAATATCGAATTACATAATGCCGAACAAAATACTTTTAGAGTTATTAACGATGAAGTATACCAAATTTTGTTTAGAATGGTTTGGATGATCTCTAAGTATTAATTACACCGCACCGGAAAATTAAATTTAGGGGTAAGTTAAAAAGAAATAAAAGAAAATGTCATTTATACAATATTATCAATGACTTTTTAACAAAATTATTTTTATAAGAAAATATCGTGGGCTTGGTGCAACAACTCACTAAGTAAAAATTTACATGTTTTGAGATATTTACATATTTTACTAGGTCTAAAAATATTTTATAAAAAACTGGTTAATGGAGAAGTGGTTTGCCGCGATTATGCAATTTACTCCAAGAGCACTTGCAATATATTTTGTCTTCATTGTTTCTTAGTTGAAAAAACAGCCAATTTAAAACAGGATTTTCATTATGGAATAAATATAAAGAAATATTTGACGAACATGAAAGATCCAATCATCCTATAGATAATCTGAAAATTTATACGACTCACTTATTGAAGCAAGGAGGAGTTGATGTAGAACTCAAAAAGGAAAGAATATTGGGTTAACAAACTAGAAAGAATTATAGGTGTAATTAAGTTTCCCACGACAAGGGAATTGGAATTGGCGAAAAACGGAATAAAAAAGAGAATACCGTTGGCCCCTTTTCCTATAATAATTCCGTGAGGTGTGAATGAGGAAAAGAAACACAGCGTAAAATCTTGGCGAAATATCACACTTCAGAAAAAAATCTTCGACGACAGGCCAAGAATAATGATATATCGAAGAGCTTTACGGTAGGAAAATGCAATTTTAATGAAAGTTGTAACAACTGTGCCGGTGTTAGAACGACTAGTACAATCGTAGGTTGTGATCAGAAAGCACTGTTATATGTATGAGGAGATCGTAGTAGCAGTACCTTGTATGTGCCACTCCTGCTTTCGTTTTTTCTGTCTTATCTCTGCCGTGTATGTTAATATTGGATGAGAGATTGGATGAGAAGGACATTCGGATCATCATGAATTTATACTGGAACCAGCGTGCTCAAGTCAAGGTCGAAGACCAGCTGACCGACCAAGTGAAGATCATGCGAGGAGTAAGGCAAGGATGTGTGCTATCGCCGACTCTTTTCAATATATACTCTGAGATTTTTAATGAAGCCCTCACAAACCTAGACATGGAAATCCGAGTGAACGATGAATACATCAATAATATCCGCTACGCCGTTGACACTGTGTTACTAGCAACCAGCCTAAACGATCTGCAGGCCTTACTAGACCGAATGCGATTTGTGAGCGTAACATACGGACTGAACCTCAATATTTAGAAAACTAAATTCATGGTTGTCAGCCATACAAATTTAGTTCCCGGGCACTAATGGCAAGTAGCGAAGAGATCCAGAGAGTCGACAGATTCACTTACCTCGGAACTACCCCCAACGTACAATGGGACTACGCTCAAGAGATTAGATCCAGAATTGAAATGGCACGGTCAACATTTATTAAGTTGAGATCCTTGCTGTGCTGCAGTGATCTCAGTTTGGGAACCAAGATGCGGATAGTGAGGTGCTACGTTCTTCCAGTGTTACTATATGGAGTTGAAGCCTGGACTCTGACGCAAGCCACTGAAAAACGAATCGAAGCCTTCGAGATGTGGATATACAGAAGGATACTAAAAATATCCTATGTGGACCATGTCACCAACGTTGAGGTCCTAGTTGGAACGTTGGAAATAATTATTTCCAACAGTGAGATGTAGTGCTGGCAGTTTCTTCCATTCCCCCCAAAGTTTAAGTTTTAAATTCAATGTTTGTCCCGTCATTTAGTGTTTCTGTTCCTGTTCATGTGTGTTTAATTTGTCCCAGATTGTCTTAATTTGTAATAATTTTATATACTTTTTATATACATTTTACATAATTGACTTTACAATAATTGATTAATTTTGCCAATAGACTTGATAATTACAAGTCAAAATAATTGCACAACTACACAATCGGTACAGCTATTCTTATTCATTGTCATATAACTGTCTCCTTCATTACATACATACTCAATAAATATCACATATTCCAAAAATATATCTCTGATATAAGTGTAAATAATTTAAATAATACAATAGTAAAGAACATCACTTTCATCTGACAAACAACCACAATATACCTATCTCTAATTCATTGGATCAAATCTGTTCTCCTCAAGAACTTCCCGTTTATTGTCAAAACCACTGCAATAGCACATTAAAGTTCTCCAATCAACAATACATGATTTTTGCAACCATGACCTACCATCCATCAATTAATAGAGTACCGGCATCATTAGTTTAACTTTGTATCTGGACCTGAGGATGCTTTGCAAATTGTAGAAAGCGAAACCGGTCGTCAGATTGTTAAATTAAATTGATTGTGAGTAAGTCTTATTATTATTTCTTTACCTATTTGATATGGACTCACACAAGCAACACATTCATGATCTTTATATTAAAATTCTTTTTCACGACATACGAGAAGAACCAAGATTGGAAAATAACAACGAAGGGCCAACAATTCTGAAATCTGAAATCATAAATGCAATTAATTATCTCAAAACAAATAAAAGCCCAGGTCCAAACGGAATATACCCAGAAACGTTAAAAGTAATCAGCGAAGAAAATATCGAAATATTTGTCCTTTTATTCAATCGCATTTATGATACAGGTCAAATACCCCAAGATTGGCTGGAGTCAATATTCATCCCACTACCAAAAAAATCAAACCCACAACACTGCAATTAGTTCCGTCTGATAAGCCCTACGAATCATGCAGTAAAAGACCTACTAAAACTCGTACATAATCGTATCTATAGAAAGTGCGACACAATCATCGGAGACGATCAGTTTGGATTCAGAGCCGGCATGGGAACGAGAAAAACCCTGTTTAGTTTACTAGTTCTCGCCCAAAAATGCTACGACCAACAGAAAGATATATTTATATGCTTTATAGACTTCAAAAAAGCATTTGATAGAGTAAGACATGACCTACTATTAGAACGTTTGCAAGAAGTCGGTTTAAATTGAAAAGACATCAAATTCTTAAAAAACTTGTACTGGAACCAAAACTCCAGAGTTAGGATCGAAGGTTCCACATCCGTAGAAGTAGAAATTAGGAGGGGAGTTAGACAAGGATGTGTTCTGTCGCCTCTGCTATTTAATCTTTACTCCGAGTTTCTATTTAAAGAAGCATTGGAGGATTCCAAGGATGGAGTCAATGTGAATGGCGTAAATATCAACAGTATCAGATACGCCGATAATACAGTGTTAATTGCGGATTCCGACTTAGGTCTACAACGACTCATCGACAAAACCAACTCGACCTGTGAGCAATTTGGTATGAAACTAAACATTAAAAAAACCAAAGTGATGTCAATACGAAAAAACCAAAACGTACCTCAACGTTGCACAATAAATGCATCTTCTATATGCAGTTGAAACGTGGACCCTTAAAACATCAACTGTAAATAAATTGGAGGCCTTTGAAATGTGGATCTACCGGAGAATACTCAAAATTTCATGGACATCGCATACCTCAAACGAAGAAGTGGTGCATAAAATAGGCAAGGAAAGAGAACTTTTTAACACTGTAAAAGTTAGAAAAACATCATACCTAGGCCACATACTGAGAAATAATAAGTACCAATATGCCCAACTTATAGTGAAAGGAAAAGAAACATCAGGGACAAAACAACAATGGACAGGGCTAAATTTTGAACAGCTAATAAGAACAACTGAAGATAGAGAAGAGTTTAAAATTGTAGTAGCCAACCTCCATTGAGGAGATGGCACTTTAAGAAAGAAGAATTGTTGGGGTCTTCTTTATCTCCTTTCTTAAACATTGGTATCATTATGCTATTTCTCCATGCGTCTGGTATCTTGCAGTGCAATATTAGTTTTCATCTCAAGAGTTATACATTTTCCTCCGTGTCTTAGAAGCTCGTTGGTTATTCCGGCTGGTCTTGGTGACTTTATATTTTTAGGTGAGTTTCTAAAAATTGATTTTTATTTCGTGTTTTAATTTAAGTACATTATTGTTGATTATTATTTTCCTTTCCTTAAAACAGTTCTGTCAGGTATTTTTCATTGTTTTCGTCATTGTATTCCTTCAGTTGTGCCAGTTCTTTCCGTTGGTTTCTTATCAATTTTCATATTTGTTTTAGTGTACCGTAAAAGTCACTTTACATCCTTTTTATAAACTGTTCCCAGTGTTCATTTTTGTTCTTCTTACCAACTGCTTTGTTTTATTTCGTATTTTTCTATGGGTGTCACGGGATTTTAGAATATTTGATATTTCGTATTTTGTGTAGGCCTCTCGTTTCTCTTTACATTTCTCTTTTATTTATTTTCTGGACCATGGTGTATCATTGTTGTTTCTTTAGTTCATTTAGTGGCATTTATCTCCACAAGCAGGTCTGATACTCCTGACAACAATAGGTTTTCGCGATTTAGATCTTAAGGTAGATGCTTGGCCAGAGTTTCGTAATTTCTTGGCTTTGTCACTTAACTAGTTTTCTATAACTGCTACTCGATTTTTCCTTCCTTTTTTAGGACTGGCAATTTTAGTGTCCGCTAAATGGGTGTTTGCTGGTCGAATGTCTGCTAGTTGAGTATTTGATACTTCAGATCCTGATCCCTGTAAGTTTGCTGCTATAGTGTCTGCAACTTGAACGTCTGGTACTTGAATGCTTGCAGCTGGAGTATTTACTGCTTGAAATTCCGCAAGTGCAGTGTCAGCTACCTGGATTACATTGTGTAAATTGGACAAGAAACCATTGCAACCTGGACTATAACTACTGCTTGAGCTAGAACTATCACTTGGTGTAGAAGAGGAAGACGAACTAGAGCTACTAGAATCTGATTCATAGTTTGGATCTTTTTAGAATCATGATCATTATCGCTTAGGAAGTCCGAGATTTGGAGTTCGTCTTTCCGTTCTGGTAAAAGGTCAACCTGTAATAATGATGTACCAGGCTTATTATTATTGTTATCCGTAGCTATATTCATAGTTTTCATTTTTCTAAAAAAGAAGAAACATTATTATAGCTAAACTAAAAACTTTAGGCACGCTATTTTTTTATTATTTAATATCAGATTACGTGACTTTATCACTTGATCTGATGCATAACGCCCTTTTTACAGTCATGAACAAGATAATAACAGTCAATAATTCTAAAAAAGCGTCATAATTAAAAAAGAAACCTCAGTGGATTTAAAAACCGTATGTACCGGTTCTGCAAAATAGTCGTATTCCAAAATAGTTTGAAAAAATATACTTACATATTCAAAAAAACTGGCTAAACTCAAAATGGTATACTCTTTCGCGCCATGCAAAAGTACTTTCCTCGTTTACTACTTCGAAGAAACGGTAATGCTAACACAAAAAAGAACAGTATTTTACTTATTGCAATAATTAGATATAACTAATAATACTTCACACAAAAACTGTTACTCTTGTGTGTGACTCTTTTCAGGATTAAAAACTACGTGTAGACTCTTATAAAGTCATGGGTGACACTGTAGCGGAATGCGTGCTCAGCTAATCTATAAAAAACAAAAGTGTCATATCGTCAATTCGCGGTAAATAGTTCAAATATAAGAGTGTCGCTTTTATGGAAGAAAGTACGACTTATTTTAATACTTGTAGCATGGTCATCTCAATAATGACGATTTTTGAGTTGTGACTCTTTTTTAACGGAGTTGTGATATATACTTTCTTAAAACATTTCCTAAGTGGAAATCAAAACTATAAAAAAAGTAATTTTAACTGAAACTGTGGTTAATTCACATTAAAGATATTAAATGAAAGGTTTACTGTTGATGCATAATAAATTTTACTTGACATAGCGCCATTGAATTTTCATCATAATGTTCACATACTTTTAATTATTGTAAAATATAGTTCCTTTATTAACTTTAATCAAATACAATAACAATTCAATAGGAAACGTGTACTGATCGGTTTTGTCTTTCAGTGTATTGTTAAACTCTCTCTCTATTCATACCATGTTTGATCTAATATTGTTTTTGATCGGTTACGATAATAGACCTGTTCATAAAGCCGTATAACCATTTAACTAAATTAAATATTCATCACGAGTTGGTAGCAATTAAACAGTACAATTATTCTGTCCAAAACCAGCGGCGTCGTTAATTTATTTAATGCTCATTTGAACTAGTGTTTAATAAGTTATGAGTTCCAATGAGGTTAAGTCAACTCTATTATATTACGTTTCAATATTAAAGTATTGTGATTAAGTATAATTGGGATCTTATTCGTTTTATTCAGTATCTCTTGTTAACCATATAACATTATTTTAAACAGGATGTATCAAAATTTAAAAATTAAAAGAAAAAAGGTAAGCTACAGTGTACAGTGCCGGATTAAGGAAGGGGCTATAGGACTATTAGCCCATGGAGGTAAATTTGGAGAGGCGGTACGTTGCTCCCATCACGTTTTAAAACTTTATGTGAATATTTCAAATTTATGGGGTTGATTTTCTGAAATAGCATGGTAATTAAACTTCGTCTCGTCACCAATAAGATCCGAGTCTTAGGTAGCAGGTCGCACAAAAACACGTTTCATGTTTTCGAAAAATTGGCCGGCGTCGCTGCTCCTAGCGGCAGCGTGTCCGGCTCCAACACGCCAGGTTGTCAGTCGTGTTAGCGCAGTTTTCGAAACTAGTCTTAAATTTTACTTATTTATTCGTGAAGTGCTTTCGTGACGTTTCTAAAAAATGAACGGAAAGGAAGGGGGTGCATTTTGGAAGCGACAAAAGTTAGAAAAACAACAAACATTAAATGCAGTATTTAAAAAAAAAATTCAGCTTTTTTTACCAAATCCAGGCAAGATAGTATACCAACGAGCACTTCTTTTCAAGACGATCCAATTACAACAGTTTCAGATGTTTTTAGAAGGTAGGTTTATTTGACTGTTTTAGTTACTTAAAAAAATTGCAGCAGGATCTGCATCACGTAGAGATGATTTATCCACAGCAAATTCAGAGCCACTTTGTGATATCCAGTTACATTCTGAAAAGTTCTCCTAAACGTCATATTCTAGTCGAAAGTAGTGTTAATCGAGTTGATTTGTAAGATCCAAACTTCTGGGTAAGAAATTGTGTAGATGAAGTGCTGAAAGAATTTAAAACACAGGATCTTATTTCTTTATACATTGCATCTTCAAAAAGACAAATAGGAAAACAAAACAAGTACTGCACTAAATCACTATTCTATAAAGTTTTAAAGAATGGTAAAAAAAATCAGCGAGACTGGTTAGTTTATTCAGACGACTGGAAAAAGGCTAAAGAAAATGTGACAGATTGAACATGAAACCACATATTAACGAAACATATTACAAAGAGTCGTTAGTGTCATAAAATTCTTAGCTAGTAAGGGACTACCTTTCAGAGGAACTGACGAAAAATTTGGTTCTACTAGCAATGACAACTACCTTGGATTACTAGAGTTGTTGGCAGAATACGATCCTCTTTTAAAAAAACATGTTTCAAAAGGCTGTGGTTCAGTATCTTATTTATCAAAAACTATTTGTTTTGAATTTTTGCAAGTGCTTTCGGACCACGTATTAGAAGAAATTGTAATACAAATTCATTGTGGCAAATATTATTCAATCAGTGTAGACTCTACGCCTGATATAACATATAGATCAACTGACATTCATTATTAGGTATTGCTTCGACACCGCAACACCTGTCAAGAGGTTCATACAGTTTTTAGACAACACTGGCCACAAAGCCGAAGCTATGGAAGCCAGCATTGTAAAAAAAATTTATCTGGCGCTTATAGCGGTCTCCAAGTCCGAATACAATCTAGGAATAGTTTGGCAAAATACGTACCATGTGCAGCCCAAATTTGATTGTGCAACATGCAGCAAAATGCACTATGGAAAGTACTTCTTTTTTTTTAGTTGCTGAAGAAATTTATATTTTTTTCTCAGCTTAAACTTACAGATTAAAACGAGTCATTGATCGATAGAAAAATTGTGGCCATACAACATTTGTTCCAAAAAGAGTTAATGTGACTCGATGGTCAGGACAAATTAATGCATTAAAAGCTCTTAATTTATGCTATTAACATATAAAGCAAGCATTTTACAATTATCATCTAACGACAATGAGAATATGCCAGTTCGCTGTCAAGCAAACAATTTACACGAAAAGATATCTACGTTATAATTTGGTATTTAGGTTGCCTTTTGGTTTGAAGTACTGGAAAGAACTGACCTAGCGAGTAAATCTTTACAAAGCGCAAATATGGAATTATATACATGTTCGTCTTTGTATAGCTCATTACAACATTTTTACAGCAAAGAAATTAGAAGTCGCAAAAGAAAATTACAGTTTGACGAAGCAAATACACAAAAGATCCTTACACCGCAAAATCACAACTCGATTGTTGTTCTGTGAATACAAATTACAAAATAGTTTGGTTAATTGGCTACGCCAAGACCATTAAAAATAAGATCAAGATAAACCAAATAAGATCAAGATAATCCAAATAAGACCAATAAATTCAAATAAGACCAAGAACCATAAATCCTGTTGTAAAAAGTTTGTCGAGCATGTGTAACAAGCAATGCAACCATTCAAACATCGACACTATCGAATGAAATAATTAATTTGGCACATGAAATTGGCGGAAATGGTTTTAATGCCTTTAGACACAATAAAATAGATAAATTGCTAGTGGATGATGCATTAGGTGACCATAATATAATTGTTTAAACTTTAGATCTAACTTTAGATTGCGTCGTGGGTCTAGAAAATGATAATGGTGAGAATGAAAAACCAACCCCCTCACTGCCAAATGAAATTAAGAAGGTCTTTAACTTTGCAGTTAATTAGAAAATTATTTTCTTATTAATAATTCCAATTCTAAATGAGCCTTTAAATACAAAGTGAAATAAGTGTTTTAATCTCATGTTTGGAACCAATACTATTACATAACGTTGATTAAAACTTATTATCCTTTTTTATTTTTTTGGCAATCTGAAAATTTACTTATTTGTAACTTAAGCTCGTTTGCACTTTGTATGTACGTACAACGTTAACAGGCCTTTTAGACCCATTGCTGGATGAATAATTTCCATCGTTTTATATTCTTAGCTAACCGCTTCCAATCTCTGATGCCCATCTCTCTGACATCTTCCATCACTATATCTCTCCATTTCTTTCTTGGTCTTCCGCTCTTTTTTTTGCCTTTAGGTACTCTCCAAGCAATATTCTTGACTAGTCTATCACCTTACATTCTTTCTAGATGACCGAGCTATTCTAGTCTACGTTTTTTCATCACTTTTGTTTTTGTAGGGTTAGCATACAAATGATACATTTCTGCATTAGTTCGTCTTTTCCATTCTCCCTCTACTAACTTTCCACCAAATATTCTGCGAAGTATCTTTCTTTCCCATGCTTCCAATGTATTCTGTATGGTTTTGTTCATAGTTCATGTCTCGACAGCGTATAGCATTGTGGGTATAATTATAGTTTTATATACTCTTATTTTTGTATTACGAGATATATCTTTGGCCTTAATTATTTTGCTCATACCTGTTGCTCTTGGTCAGTCTCAGGTTGATTTCAGTTTCTTCCTTACATGTCTGATCAATAAGAGTACTTAAGTACATATATTCATCCACTTTCTCGAATTCATCCCCCACTTCCAGTTTAAAGGATCCCCTGGTGTTTATTCCTTTTTTGCTCGAGATTTCCATGTAATTCGATTTATTAATATTAGCTTTCAGTCCCATTTTAGAGCTTTCCCTAATCGGTCCTTTTGTTATATTTGATAGTTCTTTTCCATTTCGTGGAATGAGAACCACATCATCAGCGTATGCTAAGCATTGTTGTTCCTTGTATAAAATAGTTTCGGACCTATTTATCCCACTAACCCTTACAATTTTTTCTAGAACTATATTAAATAGCAATGTAGACAACGGGTTTCCTTGGCGAACAACTTTTTTCACTTCGAATTCTTCTGAGACTGTACCGTTGCATCTCACAGCATAAATGGTTTGTGTAATTGTCATTTTTACCAATCTTATAATTTTTTCTGCCACTTGGAATTCTTTTAGTGTTTCTATTAACTTGTTTCTGTCTATTGTATCGTAGGCAGCTTTGTAATGAATGA